AGAGTGAACATTTCCATGGAGTCTAAATTTATTTATCGTTATGATGGACAGATTGCTAGTTGATTGGCCTTATTTTTGTCAGGAAGCAATCGCTCTGTCCGAGGATATTCGAGCACTAGAAGACGGTGCAGACACACAAATGCTCACAAGTGGTATACTTGGAGAAAATCCGTAAGATTTTCAGTTTTCTTTATTTTCTCATTCGAAATAACACCACAGTCGTTTTTGTCGATTTGACGTCGTCATTTATGAAGCTAATCGAAGACAACAAGTATCGTCGAAAATCGATAATACTTTATCAAACTATTCATGTTTTCCTGAACGCTAACTTATAATGTGTTAATTTCCATTGTATTCCCATCAGGAAATAAAGATTAATTAATCGAAAGAAGATCGTTTACATTGAACAGTTTGATGAGGAGCTTTTGATAACTTGTTTACAGACATTATCCAAGTAAAGAAACCGAAGACGAAGATTATCTTGATTTGGGCGCAGCGACACTCGATTTCTATTCATCGTTAGTGGATCTGTTGGCAAAATGTGCACCAGATCGAATGAACATACAAGTAAGTTTTGAGATCTCTTCTAATTTCCATTCTTGCGATTTCAGAGGAACTCCACAAACATATGGCCAATATATAGGACAGACTGTTTTTTTGTAGTATTCTTGATGAATGTTCAATTTATGATAACAGTTGATGAGCACAATTCCCNTTCACAATCCCAAATCTCAGCAACCAAAGCCCTCTTGAAGGTTGGTAGTAAATGATTAGATCATTGATCAACAATGCTCTTCTTAATAACAATCGTGAATGCTTTCGCTCGTTCCTCATTTTTGCATGTCTATTGTTCCTTGTTTCAAACTATCCTTAGATCATACCACCAGTTACTTTATTTAATCATTCATACAACCATTTTGCTCACACCACTTGAAAGTTGCAATTAGACGATGATATGCAACCTTGAGCATCTGTAAGAATGCTCAGTACAAACCGAATGTGACTTAACAAAGTTTTGGTATAGCAGTAACCAGAAATCTCTCGTGTGATGCAATCGAATATGTTACTTGATTACAATTCATCAGTTCCATAAAAGTAATGCTTCAATATATTCTCGTTGACTCTAACATCTCACTAACATCTCTTCATGGACACGAATTGAAGATAGCATTGAAGAGGACCTACCAATAAAGGTGCATCCGAGTGATATGTTCCCAATAGATCGTCACTCGTCATTGCACTCCCACAAAGTTCATACTCTTCCTCGAAGCAGCGCTTCGTCAGTGATCACTTCACAGCCACAAACAGTATCGCCATCATCCTCCTCAACAACAGCGACAAGAAAAACGGTAACAGTTTCGAGAACAACTGCCCGAAAATGCAGCAAAGCGACGTTGAAAACATCGCGAAATCTATCGAAGACCGCAAGAAATTCGTCGAGAATATCCTCAAATGCGAATACGTCGAAACCGACCCGTGCCACCCTCAGACGTCAGCAGTGGTCGATCATGCCGAACGAAAACGAGGAAGATATTGTGGATGCAGATGAATCGTCCACATCCGATTCGTCGGTCTATGAATCATGCGACGACGGAACTTCACAACAGCCTTTTGGTTTCGATCGGGGCTTTACAAAGACACGGAGGACCTCTGATTTATTGCCAGATCAAACCAGATTGTCGCTGTCGTCGATGATGTCCAATGTTGGCACTAATGTTGTCGCTAATGTCGTTGAGCGTGCCACTACTAGTGTCCCAGCAACCGGCACTGTTTCTGCACTGGTCAGTGAAAGGGCATGCTCGACACCACAAACGAAAACAAGCGATTCTCTTTCGTCAAGTGAGTGCATACACAATACCGCTCGTTACCTATTACTTCCAACAAATTGTTCTTTTTTTTTCAAACGCTATCACAGTAATCACCACTTTTCACGAGTAATCACCTAAATTTTGCGTTGTTTTCGATATCTTTGCTTTATTTCGGTGAATTCAGATTCAAGTTCATGAATTCGGAATCCAGTGAAATAACAACTGAGAAATTTTTGGAAATTTCTATGGAATTGTCAAAGCTTGAAGACTAATATTTTTGATTGCCACTAATCAGTTTGCACCGATAATCACGAATTTGCATGCAATTTCGAGCTGACTAACCAACTCACTCACAAATAACCGAACTAACGATGGCAAAATAATGATAAAAGTCCGTTATAATCGCTGATGTATCAATACTTTTGAAAGTTCTAACAGCGTCATGTGCCATCGTCGAATCAAAAATAGCGATGAATCAGTTATTTTAGATACGGGACCATTACCAGGCCTATTACCAAGTCATAAACAATCCGTGTTGTTGTTCTTGGATCGTGTATATGGTATTGATTCACAGGAAATGTTCTTTCATTTCTTAGAGCAGAGTTTTCTGCCAGATCTGCGGGCTGCCACTATGATGGACTCTGTGGGTTACAGTCTTTTTGTTATCGATATTTTTGTTACTATTATTCTCATTATTGTTATTGTTGTTCTTATTGTGGCTTTGAAACGATTGATTCTTCAGTTCATTGATTGAATGACTGAAGTGACATTAAATCGATGGAGTGAATTGAAAATTGATATGGTCTCTTCTGCGAGCGCGATTTTATGATGATTCCAGTGCCGTTATGAAATTTTCGTGAATGTATAGATGAAATGCCGTATTGAAGGCGATTTTCTTTTTGAAAGGAAATGCAACCCTTTCTGTTGGGATAGACCTTTGGCATTGCCCAGGAAAACTCATAATAGGTTGATAATATTCATTCGATGGAGTGGGTTCCTTTCACCTGAGACTTTAACGTTTTATTATGTGAACAACTTCAGCCTCGAGCAGTGGAAAGTGATGCAGCGCTGGCGTTGAATCGTTACCTGTGTAATGCCGTTTTACCATTGCTCACACATCATTCACATTTCTTTGCTGACGCTGAACATCATGCCGCGTTGCTGGATGCAACTTTGCATACCGTACTTATTTGATTACTTTTTTGTTCATTTACATTTAGCATTCACTCAATTCTGTTAATGTAATATTCTTGTTCTGACATTTATTTGATCACTTAATGCAGTTTGATAAATGCTCGTTGTGAGCGATATGTGGATATCCATTTGAGATGAAAAAATCTTAGCAACTCCCCTTAAGCATTTTCTCTTCGATCGCATGTGACAGGTTTCGAAAGCTCAAATGAATATTGTCTAATTCACAGTAAACAACTTACATCAATTTCAGGTGTATCGTATGAATCNATGTAATATTCTTGTTCTGACATTTATTTGATCACTTAATGCAATTTGATAAGTGCTCGTTGTGAGCGATATGTGGATATCCATTTCAGATGAAAAAATCTTAGCAACTCCCCTTAAGCATTTTCTCTTCAGTCGCATGTGAAAGGTTTCGAAAGCTCAAAGGAATATTGTCTAATTCACAGTAAACAACTTACATCAATTTCAGGTGTATCGTATGAATCGTCTTCAGTCACTAACAAAGAATCAACGTGATGCGGTCTCAGACTTTCTCGTAGCGATCACTCGAGAACTACCACCGGTTATGATGGTGAAGTTAATGCGAAAAGTGATCATCGACATTCAAGAAATGACCGAAAACGTTCTTGTACCACTTAGGGTAAGCACTAGTAATAACTAGAAACACAGGTATATTCCTCTTTTTCCCTTCCGATTATCACAGGTGCACGCATAATTGGATCGAAAGGAAAATTTTCATTGTGATTCAATTTTGAATTATTGCGGTCATTCCATTCGTTTGCTCGAGAATACTTTGGGATATTTATGAGGATGATGAACGAAATTAATTTATTACAACAATGAATCAATCCATGTGACTGTTAGTATCAATGTCAACGAAGTGTGTTCATATTGGAATTTGNATGTACGAAATATTATGGATCTGGGAATGTGTATGGTGTAGCATCGGAAGTGGAGAAACGTCTATCGATGCTGTTGTTCGATGCGATTTTCGACTCGCTGGGCAGCAAACCATACGATCCTGAACTGTTCGGAAAAGCATTACCTTGCTTGACAGCTATTGGTAAAGGCTTTGCAATGCGAATTTCTCAAAATGAATGACTCTTCATTACCACAGCAAATGAGCATATAAATTTTTGAGCAAACCCGAGCATAGTCATATAAAATGCCAACGTGATACTGCATATTTTGTCGCATATTTCACGCATAAATGAAATACACGTGATCATTTTGAAACATAATTGAGTCTGGATGGTGAGTTTAAGGTTCTGCCATTTCACCTGACTACTCGCTAACGGTACTTGGCGAGGACGCTGAAATGGTAAAGGCTCGTAACGATCGAGGTGTTTGGGTACCGAAACCTATTGATGTCACGAATTTCCAGCTGAACAATGATCTGATCTCGATGACTGCTCAGTTCGCTGAACACTTTCACGATTCATGGTCAACCAGAAAGGTTCATTCTCGCATATTTGAGTTCTTGAATCGTTGCCTGTCTCGGAATCATGCCTTTACGAGCGTTTCCTTTCTCACACACTCACTAATGATTGATCCATTCGTGGAGGGTTTTGAAGTGCTGTATGTTTCAATGCTTTTCATTGCAGCTAGACAAAGGATGGCAATATGGTGAGATTTATTCACGGCAGAATCTAACACATCCACGATTGAAACCATTCAGTCTTCTTAAGGACTTTGTAAGTTTGTCTTCCCTTTGAGCATTTATAACAAAAACATTTACAAATAATGATGTGAAATGAAAGTCAAAATCGC